AATGTTGCCGTTAAGCACAGGAAACATTTCCAACGTGATGCTCTAAGACCTTGCATTTATTCATTCCACAAATATTTCTCAAGTCCCAACTACGCACCAGGTACTGTACTAGGTACTCTGCGTTCAACAAAGAACAAAATGTTATTGGTTCCTGACCTTCTGGGGCTTGCCTTTTAATTGTTGCTGCTAACAAAGACAAGAGGGCCTATAACCCAGACTTAACAGGCTGAGACCTCCGGATTCAGGACATGAGCTAGGTTGTGTCCAAGAAGAAAGACTGGGAGCAGCCCCTTGAGGCCTTGTTGGTCTCCCTGAGGTCCTTTGTGAGCCTTAATATAAAGAATGTCAACACAGTCCAAAAGTTGACAGCTGAGGAGCTAAAACCCTCTTAGAGTCTGAACTTTCGGTTGTACGGTCTGCAAATCAAGAAACTCCGTTCACAGTCATGGATTCTCTGCTCTATCATGTCTACTGTCCACAAACAACTGATCTTATCAGAGCAGTTGCAAGGGCCTGAGTTGCTCCACACAAGGCAGGACTGACACCAGAACCCAACATCCCCAGGCTGGACTGTCCACAGCGGTGGTGTAAAAGCTCAGGACCCCATGTCAGACCACCCAGGTTCTAAATCAGCAGCTGTGGAACCTAATCAAAGTTCTCCAGGCCTCAATTTTCTCACTTCTAAAATCATAGTAGCAACTACAGTCCTTGCCCCAGAGGAGGACTGTGAGAATCAACCGACAATAAGGCATGTCAAGTGCTTAGCCCAAAGCCTGGCCATTATAACTACCCAGTAGATAGTAGTTATGATTGCTTTTTCCCTCTAATTGGGTGTTGGGGTTTTTTTAGATCTACCCTTGCTTTTCAGATGCATGTAGAGGGGGAAAATTCACCATCTAGTCTTTAGATGGCAAAATGGCTAGACAGGATCATAACAGAAACTAAAGGAGGAATAAACATCACAGGAAGACTGTGGATTTTGAGGTCAAGAGGCAATGCACAAGGCTGCATTGCTGAGTGATCCTGGGACATCACTTCTGCACACAACAGCTAGAAGTATCTTGGGTTACTGTCTGCTGGAGAGCATGTGAGTGTTTTTGTGGTTGTCTGCCTGACAGTTGAATTCTATCAGGCAGGGGAATTATGCGAGTGTGGAAGGGGGTGTGTCTCCCCACAAGGGGTAGAATGAACTACAGCGTCCATCCTATTAGCCGACAGTTATTAAAAACACACCACCCTCAGGGTCTACAGAGGGGGTGGACGCCATATTTAGACCACAAGCAACCCCAGGACCCAACTATGGCAGCCAAACCACTGCGGAACAACAAGACTTTGAAACTTGGGTCCACTTTTCTCTGAGTGCATTGGTGTGCCAAGGATAGCAGGAGTTCAGGGGGGGAGGAAGTCAATGAACTTGTACATAATTTAAAGCATTTTTTTATATTAACCCAAGCACACAGATAGGTTATGGAACAGAATGGGGGGGGAGATCACATGAAGTTTTAAAGCACTTCAAGGGGCACCCTCCAGCCTCACCCCCACGTTGTAGGAGAGGTTGGCTGCTGCCTCTTTAATTAGGACATCCAAGGGAAAGTTTGAAAAGCAGTAGAATGGTGGAAAGAATACAAAAGTAGACATTTCAAGATTTGAGTTTAATGGGCACCTGGGTGGCTCAGTTGGTTAAGCGACTGCCTTCGGCTCAGGTCATGATCCTGGAGTCCCTGGATCGAGTCCCGCATCGGGCTCCCTGCTCGGCAGGGAGTCTGCTTCTCCCTCTGACCCTCCCCCCTCTCATGTGCTCTCTCTCATTCTCTCTCTCTCTCAAATAAATAAATAAAATCTTTAAAAAAAAAAAAGATTTGAGTTTAAGCTGGAAGGCTCAGGCGCTTACTATCTTGAGCAAGTTACCTGAGTTTTCTCATAGGTAAATGGGAATGTTCCTCATGGAATCAACTTTAGACTTGATCAGGGGCTCAGAAGAAATAATGTACGGGGAAGTCCTGTACAAATACTTATTAGGATCATCAGAGAAAGGGTCTATGAAAATCAGCTGCCTTGGCATGGGTGCTGAAGGTAACCTGCTCTAGTTATGAAAGTGATTCAAAGTTGGTGGCAAGGCAGAAAAAGTAACGACCCAGCGTGTAAATGGCTGGGTACACACTCATTGCACAAGCACCTTGTAAATTAATCCTCAGCAGAAGCAACTGACCTATGAGAGCCAAGAAAGGAGAACACACAACCCAGTCACTCCTGTCACTTTGCTACCTGTGGTTGATTGAAGATGGACAAGAAGAGAGAGCCATCTAGTAGGAAAGGAGAAGGCAAGCAAATCCAACTGCTGTGTCTCACTGCCTATGGACTGCTGTTAAGATTCCTGTGTCTGCTCTGAAGGAATCGCTGTTGGAATCTATTGAGACTCCCTCTAGAGCGTTTCAAGTCAGTCTCTTGTTTTAGGCACCTGTAATTCAGCATGCCTTTTCCAAAATGCATTCAAAACCTGAAAATAAAACGCAGAACAAATGCAATCAAATGACATCATTGTTCTGAGTGACAACCAGGGGCACTCTGATCCCGTGACCCCATTAAATGGGGCTGCAACCTGCTATTGTCCTTTCCGTGGCAAAATCAGTAGCACCCAGCACAGAGCATTGCTCACACAGGCACGCATCAAACAAATATGTTAAGTATCTTATCTACCTATTTAATAGGTTAGAAAAATTGTCAGCTTTTTCATCAAAACTACCACCTTTTTTTTTTTTCATTCAAACCCCTCTTGAAATTCACTTCCATTAAGGCTTTTTAATGCGTACTAGCAGCAAGGAATTTACTTAAATGAAAGAAAAAAAAGCAAAACTCCAAGCTCCCACCTGTGCAGCCATGACATGCTATTGTTTGAACCAGAGTATATTATTTAACTTGGATGACAAGCTCAGGAGGTAGGGACCCTGTCTTTCAGAATACACAGCTCTGAGCACACTGGGAATTCTTGATAAATAACAGCAGCAAGAAAGGCTGTGGAGGGACCTCTTAATTATTTATTTTTCCAATTCCAGATTTTTGGCAGCATGTATTTATACCTGGCTTGACTTCCAAAGGACAGCTCTCTCCCAGAAGCTCCCGTGAAGATGGATAAACAGCTCTCCGGCCGCCCCTTCCCCCTCCTCATCCCAGAGCAAGTAGGAACACCTGATCGAGCCAAAAAGGGGATTCAGAGCACACTCAGGGTGCCTGCTGGGTTTGGAAGGGAACTAAGTCCTCCAGGACCAAACGGGCAGAGAGATGCAGTCAAGGGAAATGTTTTGGCTCCGCACATCTACACAGCTGTCAGATGGCAGAGCCTGGACCTCCGCTGTTATTACCTGCTGTGGGCCTCTGAGCTGTCTTGTCATTAATCCCAGAAACCAAGTAAGCCTAAAGCCCGGCACGAAGTAACATTTGGGGGTACATTCAAGTCTTTCAACAGAGGAGTAGAAGGCAATGGTTTCTGCCCAACTTGAACTCTTAGATGATAAAGATCCAATAAACACATATTAAATATTATACATGTATGGCAAGACGAAAGCATTTAGGGAGATTATTTACGCTTTAAAAAATTATACCAGTAACTAAATGAAGGCATTAGGTGTGTGTCCCAGCACACAACTAACTGATAGGCAAGGAGGGAGAAGCAAATGACCATCTAAGGAACCTTGCAAAAGACCTCGGTTTTTTTTCTCCCTGGATAACAGGGCGAATATTTGGTAGGATGTGCTTTGCAGAGAAAGGGGTGGGTGGGGGTGGGAGTGTCTTTCTGTACACATATTACCATACCTTAGAGCCAATGGTCCCCTGTATGCCTACACAACAATGTATCACTACAGCACGTTTCCCAAGTGGAGACTTCTCGCCTTCCTCTCTGATGCATTTTATACCAAAACAATGGCAACACCTGTAGCCGTTAATTTCTGCTCTTTGGTTTCTGTCCAGTTATAAAGGAGGTTCTCAGCAGGCTCCCCTCTCAGGAGCCATATGTGGAGTCGATTTGCCAGCAGCCTTGGAAGGAAAACGGCCTCTGAGAAGCGCACAATGGCTCCATAATCCCCATCCACTGGACCCTCTTGAACCGCCGCTTTATTTTCCAGTCAAAGAACCGCCACTCTGAGAGTCAAGCTGTGGCTGCCCTGGGAACCCGGGGAAGCCTGTGCTCTTGCTGGTGGGGCACAACCCAAGGGTGGTGTCTCTGAGCCCCCCAGCCGAGTGCGGCAATGTGGAGCCCAGAAACTGTGTGGCATCCCAACATCTTATCTTGCTCTCCCCTCCAGGCTGAAGCTTTTATCCACAAAGCCACCTCAACCTCCCCTGCCTCTCCCCCCGGAGACCACAGAGCACTCCCGGCGGGGCCACAGCCCCGCCCCCTCACACCGGGTCACGCTGAGGATTCTGTTCCACCAAGCGTGAGCCCCTCTGCTAGGCTCGCTCTGACCCATGTTGAGCAGGCTAGTAACTCTTCTGACCACATTACGTGTATTGCCGGTTTGGGGAGGGGGGAGGGCCGCAAAGGCTGGGGTGTGGCAGCGCGCCCTTTAGGTTCACCGGCTTCTCTGCCCAGGGCGCCGTCTTTGGTGACCATGTAGAGAAGGGTCAAACCCCCACGCCTGCTAAGACCATACACCTGGGGAAGCGGTTAGGGAAGGGGTGGGTGGGAGGAGGCTGCCTGCAGAGGCTCAGCCCCAAACAAGCGTCGTTTGGACAGAGAAGGATGGCACTGGGATGCAATCACTGGAGTTTTGAGCCAAACTCCTACCCTCTCCGTCTCCCTTTTTACACTCCCTTTGGGGACCTCTGGCTGTGCTTTAGGGTAGCCCGAGGTCTCGGAGACCGTAAAGCACGGCTCTTTGGCAGCCACCGGGCTGTGTGGATCCGGGACCTGGTAAATGGCAACCGGGTCTCCCTCCCGCTCGGCCTCGGCGGCGGCTCCCCAACACAAGCACCCCCCGCCGCGTCCCGGGGGCAGGACTTACGCAGTTGTGCTCAGCGGTCTGGAAGTCCCAGGGGCAGCTCTTGGCGCGCTCCTGGATCTCACTCATCCTGAAGAGGCAGAGCGCCGTGGTGGCGGGGGAGCGCCTCTCCTGGCCCTCCCCGGTGGCCGCGCTGAACACGCCCGCCCAGACGCCCAGGGCCTCCACCAGGCTGGAGGAGAGGAGCAGGCGCCGGCCGTCGGGGTGCCCGTGGCCGCAGTCGAGGGCCGCCTGGCCCTGGAACTGCAGCACCTTGGCGCTCTGCGCGATGCGCACCATGCTGGGCCAGCCGGTGGCGGCGCCGCTCGTGTAGTTGTAGGGATAGTAGGGGAAGTAGACGCTGCCGTTCCAGAGAAAGGCGTCCACGAAGTGCAGGCTGCCCGCGCCCCCGCGCAGCTTGAGGCGGCCCAGCTCCTCCGTGGCCAAGCTGCGTCCCTCCGTGTCCTTGAGGGCGATGGCGGTGTCGCGGTCGGACGCCGCCGGGTTGCAGCGGCTCGCCGTCTCGGGCTCCGGCAGCACGTAGGTGGCGGCCACTGCCAGGTACCAGCGGTTCTGGTCCCCCGCGCGGTACACCACGCCGGCCGTCGAGCCCTGCGGGTGACACGACACCACCTCGGTGCCGTTGCGCAGGGAGCTGTGGCTCAGGTTGCCCAGGAGCCGCACCTCGCAGGCGCCCCGGTCGAAGGTCCAGCCGGTGAGCAGCAGCCCCTGGAGGTCGCCCGCCCCCTCGCTGTAGGGCAGCAGCAGCTTGCTGAAGCTGCTCCCCGGCCGGGGCCGCGCGGGGGGCGCCAGCGAGACGGGCTCCGTGCAGTTGCCCGCTTGGTCCCGGTACAGGCGCGAGAGCCTGTGCTCCAGGCTGTAGTCCAGCTGGTCCAGGCAGCTGCCGCTCGCCACGAACACGCCGTCCTCCCGGCTCGCCGCGATGGCTCCGATGGCTTGCTCCGACCGCCACACGGGCTCGTCCGCGCCCCGGCTTGGCGCCGCCAGCGCCAGCAGATAGGCGAGCAGGGGCAGCGG